GTGTGCGTGCGTGTGTGGGTGTGTGTGCGTGCGTGTCTGTGTGCGCGCGCTCGCAAGAGCGTACGGGTGTTTGGAAGTGGCATGGCTGGATGTGTATAGACAATACAGCAGTACCCTCGTTTTATAGAACTAGTCAGTTACAGAAACTGTCATGATTAAAAAAATCTCTTACGTGAACCCCATTTTCTTTATGGGTTTCCATTATATATTTAGAAAGGCATTCTTACAGACAATCTCCCAGCAAAACGAGGTAATACTAGAGCGATTCATAATACAAGTAAGCATTGTAAACTCGTACACTGATGATTTATTGACGTATCACAGTAACTTGTTAGTAGACACATAAAAACTTGAATTTAACTCACTAGAATGATTGCGGCGTGTATATGAAGTGGTGCAATGACCTAGAATAACTAGGAGGGAGGAGCATGAGCTATTACCTACTGATTACTGGTTATGTACATCATTAGCATTCATCTTAAATCAGAATACACGCCAGAGACTATATAGAACCATAGAAGCTACCTGAAGTACACTGGTTGCTGGAACCTCACATTTTATACGCACTGCACGTGTGTAGTGGTGTTTCCTTGTCTGCTAGCTGTCCAGTAGCGCAGATAAAATTGTTTGTTGGCAGCTAGCTGCATCTGTACTACATTTATTCACAGTTATTTAGTAGACTACATTAGGAAAACCTGTTGATTCTTTGAAAAAAATTCAAAATTTCAGATTGTAACCCGAATTTATATGAGTGGTTGTAATTTGCCAAGTTTTTATCGGCGAATTTCCATAACCTGATCCTTCGTAACGCCAGGGCTTATTGCGTTTATCTAGGAATGTATGCGTGATACGGTCTTTGCATTTGTGCATGCATACATGTAACATGACGGTATACATATTTGCGAGGCCTTTTATTTACAGCGTTTCAGTGAATAAAATTTTCGTTTAGCGTTTCTCAGCACTACTAGTTTGACAGTCAAGCAGTTGAAGTAGTAGTAGTAGTAGCGGTCACAGTGACATCACAACTGTACTGGTTATTACATTACAACTGGTTATTGTTTGCAGCCAGTGAAGCCTATCAACGTGAAAAAGCCTGCGCCATTCAGCAGTAACCGTGGCGATGGGCAGGAAGACATTATCTACCAGAGGGCTGAGCCAGTGTCGCCCAACAGCACCGCCAATCTCGTCCGTGAGGCTCGGTACGCCCTCTATATTCACTGCAGTACTGTTGATATCGGTGCTATGTTGGCCTACACTTTATACCATGTCTCGTCGCTTATAAGGCACTCCACTGCTTTAGATGCGCTCCACAGTTAAGAGATAATAATAATAATAATAATAATAATTTAAAAGCAGTAGCTTGACTTCATAATAGCTGTCCGCACTATCAGGTGTATATTGACCATAAACAAGCCTGCACCGGCCCTTGTTATTTTCCCTTATATAATACTTGTATTTCATAAGCCCCCCCTTGCTATCTCTATTGGTTATTATATACTGTACGCTGTTTTACTGGGGTGTATCAGATAATGTACTGCAGCTACAAAATCCTGGTTATAATAATGTCCAAAGCACCAAACCATCAGGTTGTAGGACGCAATGTGGTTTCTTCTTCACATTGTTTAAGATAGAAATGTATCTTATAAGCCACAAATTACAGCGTTTCTCATTTCATCAGCATTGGGCTGAACAGTAACGATAACACTTATTAACCATTTTAAAATTACACAGATATTTGCAGTGATTTCATTGAGGAAATAACATGACTAAAAAAGTGATTAATTCCACCATATATATTCCAGGTTATTTCACATCTATTATATACAAAGATTATAAGATATCGATAGATATACACTTGCAATTGTTGTAATCGTGTGTTGTCTGGAATGCGATGGATCTGTGCCCGGCAGGTTTATCAAGTACTTGGGACTCGGCGAGCTGAAGCGAATGCGTAACCACAGGGGGGCGCCACCGCGTGCTTCTGAGCACGGATACAAGAGCGATCACGAACTCTATCAGCGGGGCGAACGTGAGTTCTGTTTTTTTCTCTAGCATGTAAATTTTCGTAGGTGACAACACTGTGTTACATTGAAGCCTCGTATGGACTAGCACACCGAAGGCTGCGCCACCTGGTGGAAGGATGATTCATGTTGTAGCAGTTTAAAGCTAATCTGCAGTTCCAAGTTTTTTAAACCAACTATCCGCCTATAATAAAAACGTTGATCGATTTTAAACTTAGTGAACTATATAGATATCACCATAGCAGCCAGTGTTGTTTTTTGGTGGCGATTTTTGATTTGGCTCTAAATCTTATTGATATATTGCGTGCTTTTCTCTTTTTATTGCACAAAGGATCAATAATGTTAAAAAAGGTGATTAGTTTACGATGTAAAATATTCATTACAATTTATGTGGCTAAGATAATGGATGCTAATCATCTTCCATGATGGAACCTCTGCATGCATGCATCAGATTTAAATTCACGGCTGCACGCTGATGTAGTCACAATAGCCATGCTGTGTGTGCATCGATTCCTACAATAATCTTCTCAGGCTGTTCTCTCACTGTACTCTCTGCTCTTCCTATCCAGCTCACCTTAGCTCTCCTTATCAGTGCATTATTGCTTGTCTAGGTCATCCTGCGATGAGAGCTGGCTATGCGAGTGACTGGGAGGTGGCCATGTTGCGGCGCAGCGGTGACCCGCTAGCTGCCGGCTACCTCAGCGACACGGACGAAGCAAGGCAGCAACATGTGCAGGTGAGCTGAGAAACCTGGGCACCGAGCGCAGTTGTCAGAAGCATCGTGAATAATTATTGATACAAATCACGCTATTTTATTAAGTTGTTTTCACGGCACAAGCTGTCTGCAAAAATGGCATCGAGTCTGTACGTCGTTCGACAACGCAGCAGGTGTGTGTAACAGCTCTCTTTGTGCTGGCACCTGCTAGCAGCGCAAGCTACGCGCAGACACGTTTGTGGCAGCTCCAGCCTCGCTGGCTGTGATGCCGTGTTCAAGTTGTAAACTATTGTTTTGAGTTATTAAACCAGTATTAAACGTATACAATTACGTAGTTATTGTTTTTCCGACGGAGACATAACAGTTATGACTCCCATAACTTTAAAATGTCACAACATTTGTGAAACAGTTCGAGTTAAAATATTCTTCTAATTACAAATTTTGGGGAAGTTCCAAATAGCTGCATGGTGTATGTGTTCCCTGAAAAACCCCAGTGAATCAGAAGTTAGGATATCCATTTGCGTATGCCAGTGCCTGCAGTCAGAAACTTCAGTGCTTTCCTGCGAAATGTGCAAACCACGTAATAGTGAAAGACATAGCAGGCATGTGAGAACAGTCTAGGCTGAACATAGATTTAGCGTGTTTACCGTAATGCCTGTTTCCTCAGCAGTCCTACCAGCCCGGTTTCCTACCACCTGTGGGAGTAGTTGGCAGCATGCCCGAGTTCATCAGCCGGCCGAAACCGCTGGGTCTTGATGGCAGGACCCTGATGACGCCTGACGAACGTGACACTGATATAACTGACAACATTCGGCGCATACAGGTGAGAAAACTTTTCCACAACAGTGACACACGGTGGCTAGACCCCTGTCAAATTCTCACATATAGGTGAGAAAACTGTTGAACAATCTTCTACACGGTGGCAAGACCCATGTCAAGTTCACTTACATACGTCTACCATGTATTTACTTGTTTTTTAAGTTTGACTTTTACCTTTTTATAATTATCCCATTTTAATTATTGCTGTGATTGCTGCGATCACTGCTTCTCATATTAACCTCTTTATTCCCTGCAGGGTAATTTGATGCATTTCCATGACAACAAGACGTACAAGTCCATCAGTGAACCGGCCATGTTGGGAGAGGGGCCAGATGCGCACTCATCCCCCTTCCCTCTGCGCAGAGGTGATGGCATGGAGAGCAACGCACATGACTCCGCCTCGAGCAAGGAGAAGCACGTTTCTGCCCACGATAGGTAGGAAGACTGCATGTAACCCACATTCACTCGCTTTTGCACACGAAAGAATTAGATGCTGTGAATCTGCCATGAATCCACTCTCCATTTAAAAGCATAATGGACTTCAGTGACTCCACATCAGAGCGTACTAGCATCGCTGCTTCATGATACCGATACTTTTCTTACATTTATGGACATGAAGTGTGGAAGAATTACAACATCCTAAAATTATGATAGTCATAACTACTTGTAATATATATTTGATAATGGGCCGCTGACGTTTTGGTTATGATCGGCCGTTGTGTTTTACTTTGCGCTGCAGTGCTGACGGTGGCAGGCGTGGTAAGTTTGCTAACGTGCCTGACATTGCGATGAATGTAAAGCCCGGTATCGCCCTCTGCCGCACCGTGCACAAGTCCGAGTGGAGGAGAGAGCTGGAGAGAAAGGAGAAGGAGAGACAGATTGTAAGCATATACATATACATCTGTGACTGTCTCCCTTTTTGCGCACGTGAATAATGTATTCAGTGGATGGTCTCCATCCACTGAATACATTCTTCACATGCCAGCCTGTAAATCGGTCCTAAAATTGCATCAATATTTTTAGTAGTAACAATGTTATTTTTTGAGAATATTACCTACTCTTAACTACAGTGCTAACTGCCTTGATTGCAGGAATTTTTTAATCTAACAATTCACACCTGCGAAAAATCAAGACAGGATATTTCATATGGGGTGAACGTAATCGATATACAGTGAAATTTTTATTGGTATACTCGACTCTACCTGTGTCTATGGTGTTACTCACGTTTTTCCAAGCCGTAATTCGTTTCCAAGTTAAAAAAAAAACGATTTACACGTTTTTTAACGTATTCAGTTCTGCTCTGCACGTTCAGCATTTCGTGTTTGTTTCACACGTGGTGCATCGTGGCTTCGTTGGATTGCAATGACGTGCTTGTATTTGTTGCTGCCAGGCTCTGTTGAATCCGTACCACGTGAACACTGGCAGTGAGGTGACGCCCCCCTACCCTAAGCTCCCCCCTTACCGCCCACTGACGAGTCACAAGTCAGCTTCTGTGTCGTCAGGTAAACTACATCATCTGACACTATTTAAAATACATTAAACCCATCATGATATCAGATATGAATAGACAACAAGAAAACATAGGATATTGAATAAGATAATGTTGTTGCACAGAATATCATTAGATGCAATCAGGCACAATTATCAGTTACTCAGGTTTGCTTGAGTATCTTTTATTTGCTTGGGTGTTATCGTCTCAATTGGCATATGTCTCGTTATTTAATTATTTTGATCTATTATTCATGAAATGAATGTTATTTTCCACAAATGCTGTCATGTTTATGATTGCGTCTATTTTCATATTCTCTTTTATTTGCTTATTTTCTATTTATTATTTATAGATTATTATATCATCTATGTTAATCGTAGTGCATCATAATTCATCGTAGTGCATTTATTATATATATGGTTTTCGTGTGGGTGTGTATTTCAGGGTCATCATCGGAGAGCAGGCGTCCACCGGGTCTTCCCATCTCGCCGCGTTCCAAAGCTCAGCGTGCGCGTCACTCACCTGCACGCTCCTCCCACCGCTCACCTGTAGGCTCTCCCCTCGCGTCGGTCAGGTAAGCTCCTCCCACCGCTCACCTGTAGGCTCTCCCCTACCCTACCCGAAGTAATACCTTGCCTGCTACTCGTTTCGCAGACGGGTGGCCTGGTGCGCAGTCCGACACCCTACCCGAAGGAGATGCGGGTGCAGTCTAAGCACGCGCAGAACGTTGCCGTGCGACAGGAGCAGCAGCAGCAGCAGACGACACCAGGCGAGGCGGCGCTCAACTCTACTGCGGACCGCTTCCACCAGGCAGTGAGCAGAGCGCGATTTCCGCGGATGTTTTAGGGAGAAAATGTCCAAATGTTTGCGATGTCCAAATGTTTTAGGGGTGAATGTCCAAGTGTTTTAGGGGTGAATGTCCAAATTTTTTAGGGGATATGTCCAAATGTTTTAAGGAAATGTTCAAATGTTTGCGATTTCCAAATGTTTTAAGGGTGAATGTCCAAATGTTTTAGGGTAAATGTCCAAATGTTTTAGGGTGAATGTTCAAATTTTTTAGGGTAAATGTCCAAGTGTTTTAGGGAAAATGTCCAAATGTTTTAGGGTGAATGTTCAAATTTTTTAGGGTAAATGTCCCAAGTGTTTTAGGGAAAATGTCCAAATGTTTTAGGGTGAATGTCCAAATTTTTTAGGGTAAATGTCCAAGTGTTTTAGGGAAAATGTCCAAATGTTTAAGGGTGAATGTCCAAGTGTTTAAGGGTGAATGTCCAAATGTTTTAGGGAGAAATGTCCAAATGTTTTAGGGTGAATGTCCAAATTTTTTAGGGTAAATGTCCAAGTGTTTTAGGGAAAATGTCCAAATGTTTAAGGGTGAATGTCCAAGTGTTTAAGGGTGAATGTCCAAATGTTTTAGGGGGAAATGTCCAAATGTTTTAGGGAAAATGTCCAAATGTTTTAGGGTGAATGT